TGCAACCGTAACAGCAGACGAAGTCAATACGCCGCTAGGGTGATGGTAGATAGCACAAAGCCCATGTTTGTAAGGGGGTGGTTCAACCTAAGGAAATTGTGCCATCTTTCACTCAATCGATTTGTCAAAGCCTTTTTGAGAAGCATCCGGAATTTCTGCTCATGCTTTGGCAGTTCCAGCCCAGTATGCAGAACAGTTGCGGCAACCGCGGCGGAACCCCCCCGCAACCATTGCCTATGGAGGTGATGACAAACATACCTGGCTTGGTTGGATCTTTGACTCCTTGATTGTTTGGGAAATTTTGGGTAACGCGTGTCTTTCCCACTAATTAACAACATCTTAGATTTTGCGCACGGGGGGTAATAGTAATAGCCGCCAAGATGCCAGCAATGTTTCCGATTTAATCGACAAGGGCTTTTGTGATCAGGCCCGGCGCAGTCTCTGAAATACGTGTAACCGTTTGCCAGCAAAATCTCGAGTTAGACGCGTGTACAACTGCGAGTAAGCCAGTGACACAACTGGCGTCTCGTTGCCAGGTCATAGATGCGGACGGCAGCGGGACCATAGATATGGAGGAGTTCGTTACGGGTTGTATGCGTTTCCACGGCCCAGCGAAGCTTGCTTGCAATGTGCTCTTTGGGCAGTGAAATTAATCATTAGATTAGGTTACACAGCTGGGTGAACCCCCCGGACAGCGGATGTTGTCTCACCTTTGCCACATGTACAGCAATATTGTGGGCTGGCCTATCAGAAGTGGAGTCCGCAGAAGAACAAGCCATGCCCATTTCAGTTATGCTGGGATAGGACTGCAGAACGCATAACATTCAATTGCATAACCGCTGCGTGCTATGTGTAGACTTAGCAACCTTCTGCGCCGAAGCCAGCAAGCAACGAAGTGGGAATTGGGTCTTGCCGGTTGCTTGATTGGTTGGCTGGCTGATTGCTTGGTTGCTTGCTTGATTGCTTGGTTAGTTGGCTGTTTGGTTACTTGATTGGTTGCTCGATTCCTTGCTTGCTTGGCTGGGTTGGGCTGGGTTGGCTGGTTGGCTGGGTGATTGCTTGCTTGCGTGCGTGCTTGCTTGCTTGCTTTAGCCCAGGAAGAGCCTCGATGTGGCAAAGATGGCCTTCGAGAATGAGATTACCCGAGACGCGATCAAGGAACTGGACTTGACGCTTTCTGAGATCAAGGACAGCTCACCGTTTGGCCACTTGCGGCTTTTTTTTTTTTGGGGGGGGGGGACATGCAGGGAGCTCTGTAGAAAGCCAAAGTTGCACAGGCAGGGCATGACACTCAAAATGCATGCTCAAAAACATGGTCTTGCAGACTAGTGCCATGACACTGTCGGCAGTATGACCATAATTGAACCGAGTTACTTCCAACCTCTTTAGGTGGCCGGTTGCTGACAATTACGCCAGAACTGACAACAACCAACTGGGGCTTCATACATCCTTGTGCAAGGGTTCACACCCAAGTTTATATATGTGTTTCCCTTTTAGTTACATGTTTTCGATTTTGACACTCTCCCTTCGGCCCTTTCTTTGATTGAATCCTGTAATACTTGCACAGGAGCTGCGCTATTTGTTTTGCCGCTCCACGTGTCCAGGAGCAGCTGGAAGCCATTTCCAAAAACGCTACAGCATCGCCCATGACAAGGCGAACCACCACCAGAAGCAACAACGGGAGCCCGGGCTTCCAAGTCTGACGCGCGAGTCCTGTCGCGGAGTCTTTGCCTTGCCTGGCGCAAGGCTCAATGATAAAGTTATGCGTAGCGCAATGGCGCGAGTATTGATCACCCATGTTACGCCCAATGCGGTGCAGTAGACAGAGCCAGCACAGTGGCCAACTAAAGAGGCGTGATGGGTGTGACGCCCGCCCTCTGTTCGAATAGTTTTGAGAATTCATGTGCCGTTTCCATAGATAGAGAAGGCCCTCCCAAATGGTTCGGGACTGGTTCAAGTTGGCCTGGCAAGTTTTCCGACCCGACTCTTGTGCTTGCCGGGAAGGCAGTCTTGAGCCACGAGCTTGGCTCCGGGCAACGTCCAAAGGACGCTAATGGCCACCTATCATGAATTAACCTCCCACAGACCCTCCCAGGAGCAATTCATGACCAATTTTGATTAGACTTGCTTGGCCTAAGCTTGCAAAGCAGTTGCTTTGAGCGACTCGTTTTGAGATTGGAGTTGGGTTAACATTTGACCTAGTACTATTAGATTTGAGTTTCAATTGGGCTTAATGATAATGGAGCGCCATTTTGAAGTTGGATTTGAGCCTCCCTTTGGTTTAGCTTTGCCTACTTCCTTTTGAGATGTTCAATTGGGTTTCCATTTGAATCAGTATGTGTGATATGGAAACGTGAAGACCCATAAAGATTTCACAAACTTCTTCAGGGAAAGGGCCTCTAAAGCAACTAAGTATAGAGCTACTTGTTTCAACAATATAAGACAAACAGCATTGAGGCCTGGCGCCCTTAAACCAGGTGAAGCCAATTGCATCAAACCATAAGCCGTTTTGGCCGAGGGCAGGGGCCCCTGGTGCGAGGCAAAAAGGTCGCGACTTCCTGAAGGATCGACAGTGGTAGCGGAGCCCTCGAACGAGTTCCGGCTTGGCGCCATAGAGGGCGTCAAAGCAGCGAAGGGGACCGTTCTGGGATGGTGGACGCTATGGGAGTTCGAGACAGGCCTCGAGCTGAGAAAGAGAGGAGCAAGGCCCCTTAGCTGCGCCACAGCACACCCAAGCATGTCCGACGAGAAGGAGATTCAAGACAGCAGCCCACCTACACGAATGGACTCAGTCGGTGCTTCTGGCGGGCGGCGCCGTGCAAACAAAGCCAAGGTGGCCGCGAGCACCTTGAGGTCAAACAGCTGGTGGAGATAAGTTTGTCGTGCTGCGGGTTGCCAGATTTTTGACTGAACGTTGAGGCAGCCTACAAACCCACATTCTTCTTCATTCACATCAAGGGATTCCTCAAAGACTTGCGCTGGTGCAAACAACTAGACAGTTTTTTGATAGTGGACAATCATAAGCGCCGCGTCAAGGCCAACCACCAGAACGCTTCAATGAACGCCGGATTTGGGTCGAAAACGGTCTGGAGAAGGTAGACATGGAGAAGTTTGTGCGAGAAAGCCCCGACGAGATGAAGATTGACAAAGGGCGCAGGAAGAATCCTGGAGCGCGGCGTATGTCACGGCAGCATCTCGTTTCTCGTGAACTCAAGAAGATGATGGAGACCCTCTGAACTGTGACAAGGCGGTGAAGAGAGGACCCTGCAGGTCCAGAAGCTCAAGGATGCGAGGCGGAGCGTGGTGAACGAAGCCGGGAGGGCCTGAGGTCTCAGAAACCGCGCGTGGTGGTTGCTTCCAACTAGGAGTTTGGACCCGCGTCACCGCGCCTGCGCAGCTGTAGGGAGTTCATGACTGCTTGCGTGTGGAGGCTGGCCCGCGATAGGGAAGCCGAGACAAAGCCACCTCAAGGGCAACAAGTTGAGCTGCTGACAAGCATGTCAGGCCAGCTGCAACAAACCATAGGCAATGTTAGCCCTTCGCCTGTGCCAGAAGGGTCGCGACTTTCTGCAGGATCGACGCTTACGTTAGGAGCTTGACTTGGGGGAGCAGTTTTGGGAAAAAGTGCGCTTGCACCTGCTCTTGAAGTTCTATTCGGCTTGAGTACCGAGCTAGTATTTGTGTTGATGTGTGTGTGTGTTTGCTGTTGTTTGCCGGGTGGTAGTCCCAAAGCCCAACCAAACGCAGACAACAACCTAGGGGGGTTAAGTAACACACGGAAAAAGGTGGACATTGACTTGGCCGGCCCCACTCAAGCTCATAACCCGGATGGCGTGGGAGACCAAAAGTGCGCAAGCACCGCAGCTTGAGCTGCACCAACATGTCACGAGTAAGCCCCGCCCCATCCTCTGGCAACGCTGTTGCCTTCTTGTGCTGACTCTTCGGCTGCGGCTTCTTGTCTAGCTTGGCATCTTAGTGGCAAGCCACTTGGGCGCAGGCTTGGCAAGTCTTGAGGGGAAGAATGCTGTTCAACTAGTGTAAGGGCAAGGAGAAGACCCCCAACGACTGCCAAGTTTTGACTCAAAAGAGATCCAAGTTTCACTTCCGCGAGAGGTTTCTAATTTGAGCAAGTCTGGACCCGGCCCAAGGCCGCGGGAGTTAGTGTCCGGTTTGCATGTTGCAATGTCAGCGCTCGAGGCCTTGACGTTTCTGAAGGTACCAACTGCTTCCTTTCTTTTCCTTGCACCTTCAAACCGGACTGCATCCAGAAGCACCAGTGGTGCTGCAAATCGACGAAGAGCAGGAGAGAGCCTGCTTTCGAAGAATTGGAATGATATCTGGAGTCCCTCCGCCAAAAACCAGCGATGGGACGCTGAGGGCTGTCTTGGCATTCATTTCCCGATGCGGCGGTGAAACCCTTTTTCTTTTAGTTGAACCATTTGAACCTGAAAATGGTAACCTCGTAAAAACACGCATCTCACGACAGCCCTCGCCTACGCCTGCGTCTCACGACGGCCTGCTCGCCCCAATGACAGGCTCTAGGCTCTAGCTTGGGAATGGCCTGGATTTTTCGGTTGCACTGACATTCCTGCGCGCGAAAAGAAGCGCTTATGCGGTTGCATATGTTTGCATTGCTGTCAATCACTGCCAATACTTTCCCTCGAAGCATTGGAGTTCTTCGGGGCCGTGATTGGCGGGCTGGCACAAGGGGTCAGCTCCCGCTGTATGCACATTCAAGTTGCAGATGGGAACCAGAAGTCTTGCTGGTTCTCACATTCCGGGAATGAGTTGGAACGCTGAACTGAAGATCCAGTTCCCAGGGAATCCCCTTCCAATTCATTCCCAACACCCCTCACTCCCTGAGGATCAAGTTATGTCTCCTTTGAAGGGATTGTTCATGCACCATGCGATCGCGAGGATCCTTGAAGGACATGTCCACAAATTTGAAAACTATGGGCTTGTTCACTTACCAAGTGGAGACCACTCGTCGCCTCGTTCAGGCGATCTCGCAGAAGGACGCCCTGCAGGCAGCTCTTGCTGTGGAAGCCTTGCTGTGCCTGGGATGCGTTGGCTCCAGTCGCCAGTGGATACGGCCACGAGCAACTGAGTCTACTGTTCGTTTGGGGAGGGCGAAAAGGGGCATCCAAATTGCCCACATCCCATGATCCCGGAATCCAAGATGCGGGCAATTTGTTTGGGATCCTACATTCATCTACGAATTGGACATCCTCTTCGGGAAACCTGCGTAATTTTGTTTGTTTGGGCCGATGTCATGCTAGATCATGCTAGAGACGGCGCTCACTGAACTGCTTGAGCTTTCCACGGCTTCGAGTGGCGATTCGGCCATTTCCAACTTGCAAGACTTCATGGCAGGGTTCCATGCTGCATGGTCCATGTTTCTGATGGCGAGCGATTCTACCGATTCCGGGGCAAGCTGGCAATAAAGGTCCTTATCACAGGCTACCTTATCTCAGGCGCTCCTCAGTTTGTAGTAAACGTTGCATTTGTTCAGTCGCAGTGAAGTGCAAGTCTTTGTGCATGCTGGAGTGACTGCGTCTCAGCTTGCATTCCCAAAAGCTTGAAGCAGAAGTCATTGCCGTGTATTGCTTTTTTTTACAGTGAAAGGACTAGAGAACAACCCAGTTGTTCAGTCATACCCTAAAACGGAATCAACCCCAAACAAATCGATTTTAGTCCCACCTTTCGGCACCTTGTGTTGCAACCGGAACGGTTTTGTTTGCTCTTTCAACTGGTTGGTCGATCGTGACGGCGTGAGGTCGTCAGCTGACTCGGACTGCAACGCTCCCACGCGATTAGGCGAGGCCGACGGGCCGTCAGTGCTTCAGGTCAAAGACATGGGTGTGTCTTTTTTTATAGGCTTAGTTCTGAGGGGGAACCAAAAGCAACACCCAAATGGTGGTTGAGCTACTTTGAGACAAACCCACATCGGGTTGTTTGTTTGGGCTGACCCCCCTTCTCCCCAAACCAACAGTGGACTACCTTTTTGGCTTTTCTTTCGTCACTGAGCTGTGCCCGGCAGAATTGCGTGACACCGGCAGATGGTCCAAAGGCAAAGGAAGCCTGGCAAGTGAAGATGCATGTGCATCGCAAGCTGTATACCTCTAAAGCAATGACCAAATTGGGCAATGACCACCTAGCATGACAAGGGCACTCTGCGGATCCTGTGCTGCAATGCCTAGGGAGGCTACCACCGACATGTGTTGACCAAACAACTGGTGGCTGTGCACCGCCGACTCTTGCACATAACTATCGCCGCGTAGGTATCGCCGCGTGAGTAGCTGCATACCCGAAATGACTTGCCTCCAGACGACACAGAACGGAGTGCGATGCACAGTGCCCGCGTAATCGCACTAAAATATCATCGTATTGCACCTGGGGCCGAGCCAGTACACATTGAGCATAATTGTGTTGCCACTTGTTGGAGCCTCTAGGGTGGCGCGCGACGAGCCAAGTCGGGCGGTTTGTTTCCGTGCAGTCCCTCAGGCAAGCTCCTCGGGTTAGAGTGCCCTCACTAGCCGGGTTGAACAGGTTTCAGGTTGCTACTTGTGCCAAGGCAAACATCTTGTAAAGTGAAGTCATGGGACGTAACCTCTTGGGTACAGAAAGGGTGAATGTCCACATCATGTGGGGGGTCCAGGTTGGGCTTTTTGAGACGAAATTCGATCAGCTTGGATTTCCAGAAAGCCATGGCCCTCGTCAGGCAGTGCCTTGAAGACAGCTGCGAGCGCTGGACCCGCTGCCGTGGCCAAGAAGGCCGCCGCCGGAAGCCAGGAGTTCTATGGGGCCAGCCCAGGGAAGATGGCGGGTTCCCAGCTGCGATAAGGTGTCCCTTTTCCTCGGCTTTGGATCTGTTCCCGAAAAGGCGAAGAGGATTTCTTTGAGGTTTGCAACTGCGTTTTCTTTGATTGCCGCGTCCGGGCTGAACTGTTCCACGTCCTCCTAGATTTATAATTGCAACGATCCTGGTTGACGGGGGGGGGGGAGCTGCGAACAGGACTTGTTTCAATTAGGTTGGTAGAAAGGTGGCGTTGGCACTTGCGGTAAGCAGTACCAGCTTTCTGTCCGCCCTCTCTCAAGTCAAACATTAATGTGTCACATCCATTGCTGCCCTTGTTCAGTAGTTCACCTTCAAAACCGAATACACCGTCCTCACATTGCCATGGAGCCTGGGAAACGGGGTGCCAGACCGACCTTTCTCCAGCAAAGAAGGCGGGTGACGGGAAAACCGAAGCCAGGCCGCGATTGCAGAACTCCTTCAGAGACGAGCAGAAGAGGTGCACTACACCTGGGCCAGGCCAGCGATTTCTGAGTTGCCGCAGTTTCTGATGACGTTTGAAAGGTGTCTTCTTTTGTTTAGGTGTTTTGTTCTTTGTTTTCATTGTTTTCTTTGTTTTGTTTGTTTCTTTCTTTCTTTCTGTCTTTCTTTTTCCTCGGTGTGGTGTTGGGACTTTGGTTCCCCGTTAGGGAGTTTGGGTCCGAAATGGATCTGGGGTTTAATTGAGAACCCCTTGCAGCCTTGGACGTTGACATGTGGATTTCTACCCATCAACCGTTCCAGGAGGTGTTCCACTACGTTCCAAGCAAATCCATAGCCAGTCCGGTTCAGGTCAGTCAGTTTTTTTTGAATATCCTGGAGCGAAGTGAAGCGAAGCTTAGGGCGGTGGTGGGGGCCAATGAGCCGGTGGCCTCCCTGGGCTCCTTCTGGAAATTGGCCGATGACGAGGTGGGCCCGGAGCCCAGCTCAGCCCCGGAGCTCAGGCGATCCGAGCCCGGAGGTCGCTTTTCTGCACGCGGGGTTCAGCCGTTTTTTTTTCCACTCTTTGGGTGTGTTTAAAAGGGAAGCCAAGCTGTCGGCCCAAGCAGCGATTACCGGCGGGCTCAAAGGCAGCAGCCGAAAACCGTACGGGGAGAAACGTCCTGGGCAAATGTCCACCCCGTCAGGGATCCGGGTGCCAAGGAAGGCGCCATCAGTGCAGATGCAAACATCGACAACCTCGTTCACCGAATCTCCATCCCTCAAAAGGCCACCGAAGAGCATAGAATCCATGGTCAAAGAAAACGGGTCGGCCTTTAACCCCCTCCAGATGGATCATCACATTCGGAGTGAACTCGCCTTTGGCCACCTCCAGCAAATCATGGATGGCACGCAGGTCAGGCTGGATCAATGCACCGGATGCTCAGCGCATTCATCAGGTTACGAGGAGCCACGCTCATACGGCCAGCGTGGGTTTGCCATGCCAGCCCTACTCGGGAAAATAGAGAATAAGGGAGACGCCTGGGAATGGCTTGACCCACGCTCACGCACACTTTGGGGCGGCTGGCCATTCTTGAGCGTGTTCCGACGACATCCTGCGAAACTGCGCCAACGCCCTGAACCACAAACAGGTCATACACCCCGCCGAAGCGGTACGAATGTTTCAGGAGCACCTTCTCAGAAGCCGAATCCCACGCACTCCCTGCTTCATCTACTGCACTTTCGATGGTCACAACGAACCGGCTCCCTATGGTATCCACACGCCACCTCAACCTGAGGCTAACCAGCTTCTCTTTGAGCGCATCCATCACGCGTGGGGGAACAAGCACGATGTCCTGAAAGATAACACGGGCCAGGGGCAACGTCCGATCCTCACCCTATCTCACCCTCGTGCACCCTCAGCTCCGTCCGGATGTCACTTACCAACCCACGTCCAGCACGAAGAAGCAGAAAATACCACCCCTGACCAATGATCGTGCACCAAGATCAATTGTGGACGCACTTCGCGCCTGTGGCACTAACGAGCTCAACTTTGTCGTCAGCCTTCAACGCAACACGCAGGGCAGCGACGCACGCAGAAGGTTTGCTGGCACCTGTACCACCACTCATGCTGACATTTTTGGAGCGCCTGCTTCCCTGGTATGTTCTCATGGCCATCCCTTGGAGAATGCTCGCGGGCTTACGGATGACGTCATCCGCTACTACACAAACATGATCTGCTGCTCAGCCGGGATTGGACTGATCCCGATCATTCACCCTAGCCTATCCAAGCTCTTCATGTTCTACAATTCGTCAGACTCTGGCTACTTGTCAGTTGCGCAGGGCGGTGCGCGATTTTCGGCGTATGTGTGGGAAGGAAGTGGCGTACATTATTGCCGGCAGACAAGGCGAGAAATTGGCCGGTCCATTTCACAAGCTGCTCGCGCTTTTCACCAAAGTACTGTTGGCCCCCCCCCTTTTTCCAGGATCATGACGGAGGCACATTTGACAATCTAAACTTTTGGGCAACAACGCCCTTGACCAGCCTCAGACGCATGCCAGCTCCGTCGGACACCGGAAGTCCTGTTCAGATCTGCTTGGCGTTGACCGACAAACAACTTTGCACCAACTCTCTGACGTGTCGCCTTTGCAGGTCGCACAGACATACTGCATCATCGAGGGCGCCTGCGTCTCGGCGTGGCAGCAGTCTAAGTGTGATGTTACGAAGCAGGCGTTGTGTCGACTATTCCAGCTTCCTGACACACAACAGCATTGGGTTCGTGCAGGCTCCCTGGACATATTGTTGTGGGGGAGACCTGAAACTTGTGTATACCGTCTGGATCCGTCTGCCAGTCAGGCCCCTCGAACGGCGCGCGACGGCAGCGGCGTTCCTTTTGCAGATAGAACGTTGGCCCTTGCCTCGTGGGGCGTCATCAATGCACCTACCGGTGTCGCAACTGCTTTCCCAAATGGGCGTAGCATTTCGCTTGCGGAGCACAGTTACAACAACTCGGGCAATGTTGACAGGCGCTACGACTTGCCTCAAAGGCACTCCGGCTAATCACGGCCTTTGGCAATTGCTACCCTGCCAGGAGGTTGGAACTGTCAGTGTTCAATGGATCTTCTCCTGGACATCGAACAACACGTGGAATGACATCATTGCTCGTGCCGCACCTTTGGTCCGTTCCATGCCAAGTCCCGGTTCATGACTCTTGCCCAGCAAGAACAGGGTCGGCAAAGAACATGGAGACATCGAGTCTGCATAATCTGTGCTTTTTATTTAGCCGTCGCCCAGCACCGACGAGAAGCTGCGCCCGAGGACCAGCTGCGGGAGTATACGGGAGTATCTGCGAGCAACTGCTTCTGGATTGGGTGCAGATCGGGTCATACCACAATTGCCCCGGCTGCCTTCTTTGAAGCTTTGGTTCGACAGGTCTCAGAGTGGGATGATACTTCACACAGTTGAGCCGATTTCATTCATTGAGAGGCTGCTACTACTGCTGACCGCAGCCAACCTAGCATATCCGCTGCGCCGTGCCGCAGGTTCTTTTCGCCGATGCGGGATTTTTTGCGAGGCACACGCTGGCGTGCTTGAATAGCTATACCGCTTGTCTTCGTCAGCTTGCCACCCACTTTCACCTGGATCGGTAAGTAAGCGCTCTTGAGGTATTCGTAGTGTTGCATGCATTTTTACCCCCTCTGAGTCCATCCTCTTGAGACTCGACCCATCGGTGAGGGACAGGCTCGTGCCAGCGTTCCGGAATTCACCGCAGGGATGGGAGCTAGGAAATTTTCTGACATTGCACGGCCCTTTTCCGGCGGCGCACTGTTCGCCGTGCCCGCTCGACAGACGGTCGGAGATAAAAGGGAAGCCAGCTGGAAAACCGCGGAAGCTAAACGGGTTGGGGGGCTGGGGGGTGGGGAAGCTGCTTTTGACACATACCCCGTAGCTGCAGCTTCAAAAAAGCCAAGGAATGCAATTGTTTGTTGCCACGAACTGGTGTGACACATGGATGCCTAGGTGGTAATGTGATGTTACATAGTTACATCAGTTACATCATGCGCCGGACTCGGACAGCTTTCCACATTGCAGCTGGCAGGGCAGGGCAGGCTGCAAGCGTCGTGGGGCTGCGCGATTTCACTTCGAAGGGTCGTGGCGACGGATTGTGATTTGCTCAAGACACCCAAACTCCTCTTCACAGATTGCTAAGCCGAGCTCAGCGCAAATCCACGTCCAGTATGACTGGCATGGCCATGGCAATCAATGCCTTCGGGCAGCAGCGCCCAAGCGCCCAACACCGATTCCCCTTGGCCCACCTGGCTTTACAGGGATTTTCAGCTTACAGGCCCATATGCATCTCGAATTTGCAACCCCGTTCGCATGCCCCAGCTTCTTTTCCTGAGGTCCTTGCTGTGGCTGGGGCAGCGCCAAGTTCCCCGCCAAAGAGGGCGAGGCCCATTGCGTTGTGAGAGTCTTTGCCAGCTTTCGGCTTGGAAAAACCTGCCTAACTCCCGCGTCCCCACTTTACCAAAAACTCGGAGAGCCAGTTTATCCAAACTGGGATCCGTTGGGGGCACTGTCAGCCGGCCACCCGTGGCTTGGAGCCAAAGTGCGGCGCGACTCGCCTGAAACAGTGGCCCAACTTGCGTCCAAGCAACTTTGTTCGCCCCTGGGAAGCAAGATGTAGATGAGGGAGCCCTGTAAGATGGACCCGCTAGGTTGCTTCACATCAGGCTTTTCATGGCTTTTCAATTAATCGGTCTGAGACCTAAAATGGCTCCGGCCAGGGAAAGTTCGGTGGGAAACCCATAAAAGCCATTGGGGAAGTTTCGAGACGCCCCACTGAATTTCGGGGACTTGTTGGCGCAAACTTCCTCAAACACTTTTTGTTTCTGGATGTCTTGCTAAAATGGCCCCTCCTGGCAGGGGAAGTCCGTCGCTGTCCCCATCCAATCTTCCCCCTTCGTTTTCGAGCGCCTCTGCCTGGCCGCGCAAAGCCTTGCCTCTGCGCAGCTCCAAGGCGCGCGGGACGGCGACCCGCTTGCCACCGGCGTTCACTTTGCAGGGGCCATTCAAAGGGAGTTTGATGTTGGTGGTGTGATGTTTCAACCGGGGAATGTAGGGGACCCTGTTGCAATTGGGGGAAGGGGGTGCTACACAATCCAGAACGGTCCTGCGAGCTCACCGAACTCGTGATGTTTTAGTCGGGAGTTCTTGGATTCTGGATTTGTGAAAGGTTAACCAAAGTGGGTTGGAGGAGAAGTTGTACTTTTCCAGATTCCAGACCCTCCTATTGAACGCGCGGGGAAGGGGGTGACCCCTGATTTTTTCATTGTTCCCTGGCCAGTTCCAACCTGGCCGGGAGGCTCCCATAGGCTTGTGTTGAAGAGAGGGAATCGTAGGCGAGTGCTGCAAGGATTACATGCTTGCATGCGTCAACATAGGGGGATCCGAACAGTCGGATTTTCCTGCTGGATTCCCTTACCAAGGTGAAAATGGTACCGGGTCGTTCAAACTCATTCCTGAATCCTTCGGGATGACCATTTTGAAGAGCCCAGAAAGTACAGAGAATCCTTTCTGGCTCCAATGACGTGACAGCAACGGTAGAAAAAGGCGTCCCACCCAAGTAAATTTGGCCCCGCAAGCTACCACCGCAGCCTCAGTGAAGGCAGCGCCGTGGCCGCTGCTCTGAAGGCAGCATTGGCGGAGTGCTTTGCGGCAGCCTATGAGGCGGGGCCGCTGTGAAATGCGATGATTTGTTCGAGTTGGATTCATCTCAAAAAGGACTTATGAATATGTCCCTTCATTTTGGGCCAATGCCCTAATGGGTGATGCAAATTATCATTCGGGACTCTTTGGTGAACATGCTTTAGGTGGGGAATTTGGGCCCAGAGGGATCAACATGTATGGACACAGTTTGCTTCCTGGCTTGCCTGGCTGGCCTTACTTGGCGGCAAGCTAGCTCACTACTTTGCATGGCAAGTTTTGCTCTGCTTCTGGTGCTGTTGCTTTTGTTTTGATCGTGCTATGCTTGGCTTGCACTTGTTTTGCTTGGCTTGCTTGCCGCTGCTGCAATGTGGTTTTTCACTGGGTACCAGCGTTGCCTGGTAGTTGCGCGCCTAGTTGGACTATTTTCTCAGAATGGAGGTGGGGCGCTTGCTAGAGTTGCACCAGCTTGTTCACGGGTCAGGGACACATTGACAGACGAGAGACATGTTACCTGAGGATAGACCAGCTGACCTTGGGCGCCTGAAGCGGTCAGGACTCGATGTTGGGCCAGGGAAAGCTGTGTGGCTTCAGTTTGGAGGGGTCCCACTGTTTCCCACTGGGTTTGGGCAGTTTGAAACATCACCGGTGCCGCTGTAAGGTGAGCTTCCTTCTGTAGAGGTGGGGTGTTGAGGGGAAGCCAGAGAAGGTTTGTGGAGGCTGGTGTTTGGTGATAGTTGCCGCTTTCTGTTCTTGGCTGTGTGAAGGTGCAAGGCTGCCTTTGTTGCTGAAAAGTATTCGGAGCTGTCCCAACTTCCGCCAGTCCAAGATGTCATGACTTAGCATCCGCCAAGTTCACACGGTGCGTGCTAAGTTTGTTGCCTGCAGCCTTCGTACTTTACAAATCGCTGCGCCTGCAGGAATGTCGCACCTGCTGCAGTGGCTTTTCGTTGCTCGGGCCGCGCTAAAGTGCTATTTGGACAGATTGTTTGTTCCTTCATGGCACACGGATCAAATTACAAGCACGAGAGACAACTACAAAGTGGTGCTTTGATGGTATCACGACAATTTGAACAAGCTGGTTTGCATGATTTGAATTCGAAGTACTGTAACTGGCTTGATGGGCAGTTTCACATGAACGACAAGAAGGATTTCTCAAAACGGAGGTTTCTTTTTTTGGTTTCCTAGGCGCCAAGAAGCAGTCCGCCATTTTGAGCAAGCGTTGAATAATTCCAAGGATTTGAACTTTTTGCGCATCACCCTCTCCGCGGCAGCCGTCGCTGGATCCAAACCCTTGGAGCACCTCAGAGACCTCCTCGCGCAGGGGGCCTCCTGCCGAAAACGGGGCGGCCGAAAATGCAGGGGAAAAAAAAAAGAAAACCGCCGCGACCCCCCAAAATCAATCAGCATCTTCGGAGAAGCGGGAAAACTGCCCGAGAGCCCTTCAAATGACGGCTGAAGGGACTCAGACCGAGTGACAGCTCGCCTCGAGCTCAGGAAGCAGTGGCTTTCTCTGACCCTGTGGATCGGCTGCTGTACCAGGATCTACTGCGGCTTGAACTGGTCTCAAGGGTGTTGTCCAAAAAGGTTCGTAGAGGACCTTTTGGGTTTGAAAACAAGGCCCGGTAAAGGTCCTTGAGTTGGGGATTCCCTATTTCGGGTGTTGGATGTATTACAAACGTTCAGGTTATTCCTAGTTACTCTTTCCCACCAGACCACAGTGAAACTGACGTTCAGGGGTAGGGAAGGTTAGAGCCGCTACCAAGTTGGTCAAATGTTCAGCCCCAAGTCCATTTGAGGGTGATTCCTGATTCGCATGGTCCGAAGTTAACGTCAGGTCATTTTTGGCGATGTCAGGTTCCCTCATCCCAAGTGAGGCTTCCACAGGCAACGGGTTCTCTACATAAACGCTCCCGTAAGCAACTCAATTTGACGCAGGAATGATGTCATTATGTTGAATTGTTCGTATAAGCCTCGAACATGGGCGCAGACTTGACACAAAAAAAAGGCCTCGACTGGTTCTAGGGGTGCAGGAGACGATTTGGCTGTGGGTTAACATTCAAGGAAACATGCTTTTGCAAACGGCAGTTTCCAAAAAGTCCTGGAGGATGGGCTTCAAGTGGTTTGATCTTGACAGCTCAGGAAGGCATCAGTCAACAACCACGTGCAAGAGACCAAAGTGTTGCTTGCTCCCTTCTTCCTGCAGAATCCGCTCTACGGGTGGCTACGGCTGATTCAGTTTACTTGCTGTGCGGTTTGCATGTTGATCAATGTGCCTGTGAAATGCCATTCACAAGGTGCAGTGTGCTTCAGTGATGGGCTCCGGTAGCAACATCCAAAAAGCACCTTTAGGATTTGGATCCTCTAAATCACCTGGTGGATGCAGCCGAGTTCCGAGCGTTAGTTAGCGAGGTTCCTCTCGCAAGCGCCGGTGACGAGATCCAACAGCAAGGGCATCAATGCAGGCGCTTTGTTTGATGATGAGCTGAATGGGCTTTGTGTCAAAAGGGGCCCTCATAGAGGTGGTGGTTTCCTTTTGGTTTCCCTTCTTAACCAAAAAGGGTCCACAATTTCGAGAAGCCCTCAATGGTTGGCCCGCTCGGCTTTGTCAATGCCAAGGGGGGGCCCGAGCAGTGCAAGGTATTTCTTTGAACAGACAGTTGCAAGGTGAAGTCAATTAGTGCAAGGTTCAGGGGCCGAACTCAGCTGCTTTTACTAGGCCTGAAGCTGAAGCACGTTTAGCATGGGATGATCATTTGTCACGCCTTGATCTTTTCCTTGCCACTGGCAATGGCATTGCGCCTGTGTCTTCAGCTTTTTCCCCGAGCCCATTCGGAGCTACGCCATGTGCAACCCAACCAATTTGCAAACCAGTAACGCGTTCGGACCCCATTTGCCGCAGTGATGCGAAGGCGGTTGAGAAGTGTTTGGTCGCAGGCGAGAACGAAGGCTTCGAGTTGCAAGTGAGCTTTACCGCACCATTGCGACCTGTCCTGCCGCGGTTCCCCCTGCTACCTGTGGCCATGTGCCTCGGCTCGCAGAAGTTTGGGTTGAAGTGACTGACGATAGCCTAAATGGCAATGGCTGTGTAGCTACAAATTGAGACACCGTGGCTGCGTTCCCTCAAAGCAGCTTATTAATGGGAGAACGCACTGATATATCCAGTCGTGGTTTGGGCCGATATTGCACACGTTCCATCATTGGTTGGCAACATTTGTTTTTCTTGTTTCTTGCGTAGTCAGGGTGTCCGCCAATGACAAAAGCTTCCCCCCGCAACTCAGCAGGAAAGCACCATTTCAGCCAAAATATTTGCAAACAGCGGGGTGTCCACCTCGACTAAGCATCGAGATGCTTGCTGCATCGGTTGACACACAGCCGACGCCCTGCTCAGGAACGTCAATGCCATGTCCGACCTTGACAGGCCTGGGAAGGAAGGCAGTTGACATCAGTTGACCACGGGCAGAAAATTGGCGCGTTCCTGGAGTGTTTGAGAAACTGATGGAGCAGGCTGAACCACTCCTCAGCTTGTGATCATGACCGAAATTGGTTACAGTCATTGGTACCATGCGCCTGCTCATCATCATGCCACACATACAGCGTTACGGCTGGTGTGCATGGTAGCTCATGGCTCGCAGTGGCGGAGCGCAGTTGTTGCAACCCGAGAGGAAAGCCATTCGGTTGGCAGCACTCCCATGTCTCGGAATCAAACCCGGTTCGCCACACTAGTCATGTGGCCTTTGAACCAGCAACAAACATCATTCCCCCCCTTTCAGATTAGAATCGAATGCAAATTGCAAAACTCACTTGTTTTCGGGGGAAAACCGCTCATTTGCAGAGGAGTACCCTCCAGCAGATTAGCATGGAGCCCCAAAACATCCCAAAACACTATTTTCAGAAGGAAGCGACCTCCTGTCCTGTTTGATTTAGTTTCATGTGGATTTGCAGGGCCCCCAGGCCAGTCTGATCGGATCGTCCCGCATCTCGAGGCGGCTGGAGCCGCGCAAGGCCGCTGAGCGCCCGCAGTCGCTGATGCAGCAGGCGGACCCCGCTCTCCATTTGTTTCTTCAGGATAGTCGAAATATGGAGCAGAGTCAGAACAGATTGTTGTTCTGTGTATTCCAGGTTCTCTTCAGGGATCCTTCTCTTCAAATCAGCTTTGGAGCCGGGAAAATTGGCTTCTAAAGAGAACGACAGCAGAAGAAAATTGGGAATCAACCCGTGAATGCCGGTGCATCCTCAAGCTACCCAAAGGGAAACCAGCGGGCCCAAAAGTCATTTTGATGACCTTTGGCTTGATCAGGTCGTTTTAAACATGGCATGCTTTGGGGTGTTGTTTGAAATTTGAACGGATCTCCACAAACGAATTGATGTTCCGAATCTGCCGTGTCTTTTTCTAGCCTCTGCTTGGGGAGTTATAGGGGGGGTTGTGCGCTGGGAAGGGCAACTAGGTTGGCATGACAATGCGTTGGAGCCTGGTCCTGGAATGGTTCCTCTTCACTTGAGGCCGACCATATTGCTTTCCATCATTTCATGGTTTGCTTTCGGGTTTCACCCGTGTCTCACTCACGTCTTCTAGTCGATCCCGAGCTGGTCGCGAGTCGTCTGTTGGCAGGCGGGTGGCCTGGTAGGGGGCCTCGGCTCCCGCATCGGCACCGGCTTCTTTGGCGCCAAGGGTGAGGCGCTGAACGTCTGAAGCCCTGCGACGCGGCGCGCCAAATGCGCGAGCGAGGCAACAGGCGCGAGTGCCGGGTTCAAAAGGAGCGAACGAAGATGAGGTCTGGCGTTTCCGGGTAAAAGATGGCACAAGCACAACGTTTGAAGCCTTGGGTGTGGTTTTGTGCCACGATGTGGGTTTTTGTTCAGCCCCTTTACAACCATGGACCATGCAGGTCCAAGCCAGCTGTGGGTAGATAAACCAAGGTCCAGGGTTGACACTTTAACAACCGCTGGAGGCTCTGGCATGTCATGTATGGCTAATTTGCAGCTTAGGCCCACCAAGCACCTCGACGCTGCTCAAGTGTTTGGAGCTTGGGGGACGGGAGGTGGGTTGCCACACTTGGACCTTTTTTCTAGCTGCTGGCCCACACAAATGCAGTACAGAGGCAGAAATAAGGGGAACATTTTCACTTTTTGCCGCTTTGGTTGACTTCTTGCAGATGGTCGAAGTTTGCCCCAGATTTGGTTGCGCGCACGTGGGGGGCGGCTGGCGGGTTGGTGAGCCGCTGTGGGAGGAGGGAGGCTGACCGATCTGAACGAGTATCACTGCAATGAGCATGACCGGGGTCTCTTCCAATATGATTTCATTTGTTAGCTTCGACTAAATAGGAAGCATCACTTGATCGCACATGGGCTTTCTCCAAACTGTGGCCCCATGTTGGAATGTTTGAAAGGAGCAGCAAAAGGAACAAGCCGCGTGAAGGGATCCGATTCCGATTTCGGGCCAAGACTTCGCCGGAGGTCTTGCAGCAGCGCATGGAGGCAGGGCAAGGCACTTGGCTTGCTATTTGGAACCCGGAACTGGCTTAGGGTTTGGGGTTTTTAGCTATCTAGGGAGCCCCGCATACTGGAAACGAAGTGGGACAGCGGAGCGACTGAAATGGAAGTCTCAGCCTCATGTTTGAACGAGCGAGCACACCTGTCCATTTTTGTGGCACACGAATTCTCTAGTGCGGCCCCATTTCCTGGGTGGTATCTGCAAATCAAATGTATGCTCAAGATACCTATTGGTTGAATATGCCAAGTGACTATGCGCCGATGTAACAGACATGGGTTCTCAACATTGGACCCCCTGAGGGCGGCTTCTTTTTGGCTTCCCAGCGCCCCGAAAACGGGCAATTTCTCGGCTTCCCCCAATTGAGTTGGAGTGGTGGAGGTTGGAAGTCCTATTTATGTGCTGCAAAAGCCGGTGGAACTCCCCAGGTCAGCTCCGGGCGGTGCAGACCTGCTGGCGATGTGCCAAGCCTTTTGCTCCGTTTCCCCCAGCAAATCCTTTGGATGCGAAAGGCGAACACCGAGCCGGCTACGAAACCCTCGGATTTGCCCTGAGAAGCTGGGAAGCCTTTTGCGTGGAGTCACACAAGAGCCGCGGGAGGTCAGACATGCCAGAAGGATCTCAGCTTCGCTCATTGAGTGCTCATGTTGGGCTAGTCGTTGTGGGCCTCCTCCAAAGCTATTTTATAGGATAGACTAAATGTGGAACAGTGTCAGAAATAAGATGTTCTGCGTAATTACCTCAGATCAGCTTTTGTCGAACTCATGGTTGGATTGGCGGGGCTAGGGGTGGTTTCCCATTTACCCTCTACGTCAGCCAGGGGTTCCAATCCTCGAGCCACAAGTCCAAGCCACCGATTGAGGGTTACCTGACCAGATGTGGGACCGGCAAGTCACTCTGGCTAAGGGGCAGTCGCCACGACTTGTCGCCGCTCGATCGGAGTGCGCGGGCTTTGCGCGGCTGCCCAAAGTGACCCATGCGAAGCTCAAAGCTCATCGCCGTAAATTTGGCGGTTTGCTTCCTTGAAATGGCAGCTCATTGGTGGCAGAACTTGCGCAAGCCCAGGCTGGTTCAGGCATTTCGCTGCTCATAGCATATTGACTGCTCACCACGGATCAGCAGAAGCAAATGCGTGTCGCCGAGGAGGAGTGGCACCCCTGGCGCAATCCTGCACAAAGGCTGCAGGAGGCGCGATGGACAAATGCCCCCCGAAGCGTGCAGGCTGGCGCGTGTGTTTTTGAGAGTACTTACTTCTTTTATGGTTTGTCTGCAGCGAGGCTAAAAGGAAAGCCACCATTGTTCGGGTCACCCTGTTTTGACACATGCTCTATGATGTGATCTATGCTTCGCGTGGAATAGCAGCACAGATCAGCACAGTTCATGTATGCTTCTGAGACTTGCTACGGTACTGACTTTCATAATGTAGCGGATTTCTTGTGCGCTTGCGGGAGCTGTCGCCAGGAGGGAGGAGCTGCTCTCGTAAGAAGAGCCTTGAATTAGTTCCTGGCGACATGTCGCGAATGCTAATCATCGCATTTGTTTTGCACCAGAAAACTTGACCAAGATGCTGCGAGCTCGACGTGCCCCATGGCAGGAACATAATTAGCCTTGACACAGAATTTGTTGCCACCGACAAACATGGAGCCCACCAGAATCCACGTTTGGACGAAAATTGTCTGCCACTAGCCTCCTGTAGGTACCCCATGTTAGACGGCAGGGTGGCCCTGAACTAGTTTTGTACTTGCTTGGCTGCGGCTTCGCTGAAGTCGCTGCGTTGCTCGCCAGGTTCCGCCAGCGTGGCGTGCGGCGAGGTGAGACGTGGATTGCATAGCGTCGTTGCTGTCAAGGTGCAGCAAGGTCGGCAGTTCAATGCATTCGGACCCGTGTTTCTTGAGAAAGCTGCAAAGTTAAACCATCGCACATGGACATGTATTTGTCCAATTGGCACCTCTTGACCGAAATCTCAGGGCTTGGAAGAACAGCTGATTCTAGTTTTTTGTCCGCTGCCCCCAAACCACTGCCCCCAGGGGCATTTTTTTCCTCTCCTCTCGGATATACAAACACAATATGGTCACCATTGAAGGGTAGCTCCATTTTGGGATCCCACTCAGTGTGGCTGAGAGAACATCCTGATCACTTTCGGGACCCCCCCCCCCCCCCGCTACTTCATCCGCAGGGATCATTAATCCGGCGTTGCTGGCATTGGGACCTGCAAAGTTTTTAGTGTTGCATGCTGGGAATTTCTTGGTAGCCTCAATGTAATTCATCCTATACCCCTATCTAGCCGCAGCCCAAGCAGCAGCTTATATGTCTATTTCTTTATTTTCCTTCCGTCCTTCCTTTCTAGGTTCAGTCTTGCTTCCTTTCATTTCCTTTCTTTCTGTACTTGCTTGCCTTTTTGTTTGTCGGCTTGCTGATTGGATGGATCGGTGGATGGATGCATGGATGGATGCATGGATGCATGGATGGTTGGTAGGTCGGTCGGTCGGTCGGTTGGTTGGTTGGTTGGTTAGTTGGTTGAGCGGATTTGGTGATTTGTTTGTTGGGTTGTCGGCTTGGTTTGTTTCTGTGTTAGTTTGTTAGTTTGTCTGTTTGTTTAGTTGACTTGCTTGCTTGCTTGCTTGCTTGCTTGCTTGCTTGCTTGCTTGCTTGCTTGCTTGCTTGCTTGCTTGCTTGCTTGCTTGCTTGCAAGGCTTGCTTGCTTGCTTGCTTGCTTGCTTGCTTGCTTGATTGCTTGCTTGCGTGCGTGCGTGCGTGCGTGCGTGCGTGCTTGCGTGCTTGTGAGGTTGCTTACTTGTGTTTGTGTGTTTGTGTGTTTGTGTTGCTGGTGTGTGTGTGTGTGCGTGTGCCTGTGCCTGTGCCTGTGCCTGTGCCTGTGTTTGTGTGTGTGTTTGTGGTTGTTTGTTTGTTTGTTTGTTTGTTTGTTTGTTTGTTTGTTTGTTTGTTTGTTTGATTTGTTTGTTTGTTTGTTTGTTTGTGTGTTTGTTTGTTTGTGTGTTTGTTTTCTGTTTGTTTGTTTGTGGGTTTGTTTTCTGATTGTTTGTTTGTGTGTTTGTGTGTTTGTTTGTTTGTTTGTTTTGTTTGTTTGTTTGTTTGTTTGTTTGTTTGTTTGTTTTGTTTGTTTGTTTGTTTGTTTGTTTGTTTGTTTGTGTGTTTGTGTGTTTGTTTTTTGTTTTTTGTTTGTTTGTTTGGGTGTGCGCGTGTGTGTATGTGCGTGTTTCCGTGTTTCTGTTTCTGTGTTGTTTGCTGGCCGTTGTGTTTGCCTGTTTGTTTGTTTGTTTGTATGTATGCATGCTTGTATGTATTCGTGTCTCTCTGTCTATCTATTTGTTTGTCTATCTGTCTATCTGTCTATCTGTCTGTCTCTGTCTCTGTCTCTCTCTCTCTCTCCCTGTCTGCGTGTGGTCGGTCGTGTGCCTGCTTGTTTTGATCGCGTTGTCGTGCGTTTGCCGTTTGTGCCTTCATGTGTGTGTGTGTGTGTGCGCGGGTTTGTTTCTAGTCGGTTGCCCGCCCGCCTGCCTGCAATTCTGTTTTCTGCGTGTTTGCGTGCCAATGCGGTGCTGCATTTGCAGAAGTAGGGCTCGGGTTTAAAGCAGTGATCCAGCCACACCGAGTGCAAGCAAGCAACTGCGCCATCTCAAGCTGGCAATGCTTAACCCGCGTGAAAGATCATCATTCACGGAGGTCCTAAAGAAGAAGCCGAGAGCTCCTCTTGAGAAAGTTCCCAAATAGTGCACTTAATGCTTTGCTTAAAGTATCCGAGGCTGAAAGTGCAACACCCAATGTTTTGACCTATCACATCAACCAGAAAAATCCTCATTGCAAAACAACCTCATGAGGGACCTGATGTCAAGATCGCTGAGCCGGGAGCTTGGCACAGGCAGGCCGTTGAGTGGCCTGTGCGAAGACGCGTCGCAGCACATGGTGGTGGACTACTCAGGGACGGGCTGGAGAGCTGGTGCATGCTGGTGCGCTCACATCCAATCACAGCCGAGTCCTGCAAACCCAAAGGCACAGATTTGTTTTTCTTGGTCGATGTGTTTCAGTGCTTTCCAGTTGTTTGGGACTGCAGGCCCCGAGGCCACTCCCCAAGAAAACAGCTGCCTTTGGCATTTGGGACTATAGGCAAGGCTTACGGATGCGGCTGAGATCCTGCACGTGATGTCCCCTCGCCAGCGCGGAGATGGCCCTGCGCTGCACCAGGTGGACTCAAATTGCACGGCATCGAATTTCAACGGAGTTCTCCAATTTCAATGGGCTTCAAACAACCCCCCATGAATCGCTCCATTCTGCCAGATCCTAGCATTGCCCACCAATCCGTTTGTGCGGGTTTGTTAAGGGCTTCCCGGGATCCCCGATTCCGGCAAGCCAAGGTCCGTGGATTTCGTTCCAAATGCCAGAAGGTTCAGGAAGGAATCCAAATCCTCATGGTTTTCGACTGTATCCTACCGGAACCCCTGTCACTCACTTACCTTCACCAGCTGATTTCGAGGATCCAAATCCTTGTGAAGGTGGTTTGGGCTGTGTCCCTCTCCCGGCACCCCTTGGGCTCAGCCACATTCAGATGGCGCCCTGCAGGTTCCCTGCGCGCCTTTGCTGCTGGTCCTAGGCCCCACATCTGCCACCCAGGAGGTGGGGTGGAGCTTAGCGCACCGGTGTGACGAGCGAAAGCCATGATGGAGGTTCTTTACAGAAGGATATCATTCTTATTTACAGCATATTTCAGGTTTTGGAATCATTGAAGAATCTCCAGATCAATCTACTGTACTGGACTTGGAACCTGTCGTTGCATGAGGACGTCCAGCATCCAAGTGGTTGATCAGGTGTTTTGACTTGCTTTCCGGCACGTGGCAATGGGGCAAGATAATCCCCCCACCACCATACTCCCCCCCACAGGCGCACAACACATGTCTGCGCGAAACACCGATGCCCTGAAGTCTTGCTTGCATTTCTGCAAGGTTTGCCTTACCCGTGTTTGCCTGAGAGCCGGCGGCTTGCGCGATGTCAAAATTTGAATGTCTCAGTGTCAACTGGAGGAATGAGGCACCAGATTCCAGCCAGGGGCTAATATACCCACCATTGTGTCCAAGGGCTCCTTCAGGGCAACCCGTATTAAGAACCACCTTTATCGGCTGTTTCAGAAGTTGTGCTTGCTCGTGCCAGATGTTTTTGGAGCATATCTTCTAAACCTTTTCATCATCGAAATTCGGTCAACCGTTTTGTTTAATAAGGGTGGAAGCCTAGGGGGCAGAGAGAGGGAGTGTGCCCTTGTTGCAACAAGCAGTGCAGGCAACACTTCAGTGATGTTTTTGGATTGGTGGCTTGGGGATTTAAACCTTTGGTTCTTGTAGAGGGGAACTAACTTGATGGGCGTTGAGCATCACATTTGCCAGCAGCTTTAGGGGATCCCTGAAGCATGGCATTTTTGGATGCCGGGATGTCTTAAGACAGGTACCCCCTCCAAACATCACGGACCGGAGGTTCGGTCGAGAATTACCAGCACTGTATGGTCCAAGGGGCTCGCTCAATTCCCCACACAAAAACGGGGGAACGAGGAACATTGACCAGGGCTCATGTATCTTTTGGGGATCTACCCGAGAAATGGGACATGGCACGCTGCCAGGCCCGTCGGCAGGTCTTGCGGCAGGGGTGGACAGAGTTGGCTCGGGCAGAAGGAGCGGTGTTAAGTGCCCAGAGAGAGGAACCGTTTTTGGACACCCTTGAAACTTTGTGAGTTCCATGTTAAGTACCATTTGCTTAAGAGTATGTTGGTATTTTTCGCTGGTGGCTTTAAAGGGAACCTATCAATACAGTACTCGAAATGAGTCTTTTTCGAGGAACTGCAGGGGAACAAATTTGCTGTCATGCTTTGGGCTTTCGACCCCGCAAGCAATCTGAAGGGATTCACCCCTGCAGTGAGCTGAGACTTCCCCTTTTGCATGAGTGCGCCTCGCCAGGCTCCTTTGGGCCTCGGTGTGCCCCAAAACCGGAGCATCGAAAGTTTCTAGCCATTCAATGGGCTGCTGCGAGGACCCAGCAGTTTCAGGTCGCTTGCTTTTAGAGGGAGATCCCTTGAGTCACCTAAGGGGGCGGCCCTTTTTCCATGGAAATCCGCTGGAAGGGTCAAGGATATCGTCAAATGCCCGTGTCAGGAGCAGGCTTCAGGTGGTCGCGAAGCAGCAGGTGGGAGAGGGATGGGGAGTGGGAACCTTCCAGAGCTCGTGCTCAACTCTTTAAGGAGTCATCGCTGATACGTGCCTAAATTATTGGAATGGGGAGATAGGATGACTTTAACACCAAGTAACGTCATGCTCATGAGAGAATGATGCGTGTATTTGTTTAGCTCCTCACATTGTATTTCAATGCATTTCATGGGTGTCCTTCCACTAACAATCACAGAGCTTGACAGCGGGGCTGGAAGGTTACTTTCCTTTGCAGAAGCCTCCTATCCACTTCCAAGATTGTGGAGGGTAGCGTTTACTTGACCGCCCAGCGTCAGGCCATGAGCTTACTGCAGCTTGGGCCACATGAATTGGCACTTGCAATTGGCTCTGAGGAATTTCAGTGAGAGAAAGAAGCTTCAACTCGGCCACACATCCTGGGCCTCTGCTGCTACGCACGTGCGCAAGGTTTTTTTCGCAAGCAGAAGGGCGATCCGAGTTGTGCTATGGTAAGTCGATCTACTTTAGACTGGAGCATCGAAGTGACTTCCTCAAATTGAGAACCCTTCAACCAGCAACTACTTTGCGGGGCCTTTGGCCGCCAGGCCTGGCTGGTCACTTCTTTGGCGTGAGAAGAGCTAGGCACTCAGCATGTTCGTGGAGAGGAGACGATTCCGGTGGAAGACCGCTAGATGGCAAGGTGCCGTGTGAATATGTTGTTTTGAATGCGTATCCATCTTCACCTGAGTTAAAGGGAAAGCACAAGGATATCCACCGTGTTGAGGGTCCATTTGTCCGCATGTTACTATGCCAACACAGCATTTGTCTCGGCTCAAGCTTGCGTCACCTCAGGTGCCCAACTTCATGGGCCAGAGGTGCCCGGAAGCCTAAGCTGTGGAAAATACGTTCGGATTCCCCCGTTTTAGATACACCCATTCCCCATCTACAGGTGCATTCCACGTGTTTCCAAAAAGGAAGCGCAGATTACCGATATTCAATCGGTTGCTAATGATTGCTTCTGAAGCTGAAGAAGCTTCGCCGGCGCTCCTTGTATTTGTTTTGGTCAGCTTGTGGACCCCAACAAGCAGGGTGGGCCGAAATATGGAAGGGGTCCTGGAGCCTTGTGGTTCCAGTCCAGTTCTTGTTACCTTGGCCTGGAGGTGACTTACTGCAGACATTGGAAAGCGCCATGCAAATGCTTATTTGTCTCGCTCATGCATCAAACTTGTCACCCAAGCTGCCTTCGTGTCCGCTCCGGTGCCTAGCCCAGGTTTTGCGTCAATGGCCGGCGAATGCAGCCAGTGATGAGCATCCAGCCGCTCGCACATGCGGGCTGAGGGATGCAAAACGTTGTTGGCATGCACCATCCACAACTGCAAGTAACTTGCTTGTCCTCGTTTACTGCATCAATGAAGAAATGTGGATATGTGTTTTTGTTTTTTGGGGTTGGTTTTAAGGGGAAAACAAGGACAGCCACCATTTATAGGGTCCCTGTATTTTGAGAGGTGCCCTTGTGGACAGTTCCCGAATTATAAGCGAGTTTGGCCATAGATACATTGGAGTCAAGGAGGGGGTTGAAACATCAAATGAAAACCTTCAGATCATCCGGATCAGAGAAGATTTCAGGAATTTCACGGCCAAGGATGATGTCGGGAAGTTGCGAGCGGAGCCTGCCTTAGTTTATCGTGAGGAGCGAGGCGCGCGAAGTCTTAGCCTCCCATCACTTGAAGAAACCTAGGCCCTAGGCCGCCAAAGCCACAACCCCGGAAGAATTCTTAGCTTCTTAGGAGTTCTTGGATAAGCCCCTTGCCGGTGCGATTGGTAGAAATCAACCCTGAATCGGGGATTTTGGTACAAGCCTTGCAGGGGCCCTTGGCAGGGTTGCGGGAACCCGTTTGGGGATCCCTTAAATCCAATGCCGGGTTCATTTTGACGCTCTCCCAGAATCTGAGAAGCAACTTGAAGGATGCGGGTTTTCGGAGCGGATCCCCTACAGCAGGTGGGTCTGGATGTTTTTTTCAGGAGCCCTGCATTTGCTCTGAGGATTTCAGCAGCCTGTCTAATTGATCCATGAATGACTCCATTCCGTGATTGGCGCGTGTTCTGCCTGCGGTAGGTCTGGTTTGCGACATGGTCAATAGACACCCCTGACAGCCAATGTTCCTTTGCGGGGAGCGATGCCGCATTAAGGATCATGGACCTCTAAGGGGGGCGGAGGGGGGGGCTATCCCAGGATAAGCCAAGGATAATCCCTTATCAAGGCCTTACAGGGTTCCTAGGTGATAGCCCGCCCCATAGCCCCCCCTCTGAAGTCCCTGAGTTCCGTGACTTCTGCGTTTTGGGAAGACCATTTCGGTTTTCCCCAAAGCGTTTAGCCTTTGCTTCGACCCTGGGGAAGTCAGCCAGATAGTCACCTGCCAATTGGCTTCATGCAACTTGAGGTGCTGTGTGGGGCCGAGCTCGGTTGCCCAGCAGCTGGCCACAGGCGCGGGGATCTCAGCGTTCTTCTCAAGAATCAGAGGTTAGCATGGCTTGGGAATTCAGTGATTGCATGCTTGCAAAACAACAACGGAACCCTGGCCCCTTTCTAGAGGAAAATAGGCTTCCAGGTTCCCTGGCAAAGATGGGAAGGCAGCTCGAACTTTCATGCAGAGGCATTATTGAGAGGATGCCAACATATGTAAGGATTTTGTTTCCCGCTGGGTTGAGAATATTTGTCCCGTCCCCTCACGAGCAAGCAAGCAAGCAAGCAAGCAAGCAAGCAGGCAAGCACCCTTAAATCCGCTCGTAGACCCTAACACAACCTACCGTGCACCTACCCCGAGACCACCTTAGACCTACCCTAGCCGCACCCTATACCTACCCTAAGCCGACGCTAAACCAACCCTAAACCCACCTTAAACCCACCCTGAACTCACCCTAAACGCACCCCAAGCCTACCCTGAACCGACCCTTGACCTAAGCATACCTTAAACCAACCTTGAACTTACCTTGAACCCCGCAAGCACTACACCCAACCAAAACCACCCGAAACGCCACCCTAAACACTAAGCCCGCCTTTCTCCTAAACTGAGCCTCCATTTGAACCCACCCTAAACCAACCCTAAACCTAGCTTAAACCACCCGAAGCCCAATCGAAACCAACCATGAAAGCACCCTAAACCCACCTTAAACCTTCCCTAAAACCTGCCCTGAACCAACACTAAACCGCGCAAGCCCTTTCCCCACCCAAAGCCCACCCTAAACCAACCTGAAACCCCTGAACCTACCTTAACCTATTCTAAACCTACTCTAAACCTACCCCAGCCCTACCCCTAACCTACCCCTAACCTGCCGACCCGACCTAAGCCCAGCCTAAACCTATGTCCCGTAAACCCTTAGCCCAACTCAAACCCACCCGAACCACACCAAACCTACCTTAAGCCTCAACTAAACCAACCTGCACCAACCCAACTCATCTACCCCCCTACCATAATTTTCCCTAAACCAACCTCAGCCGGCCCTGAACCCACCCTAAACCCACCCGAAACGCGCCCTAAACCAGCTTAAACCATCCCTGAACGCACCCCCACAATGAACCCTCCCTAAACCCCAAGCCCACCCTAAAACCCTAAGCGCACCCTATTTGACCGGAACAAATCACCAGAAAGTGATCAGTTGTGTGTTTGGATTGCTCATTTCGGAATGGCTGCGCTGCTTGTGCAGCAAGCTCCCTAGGCTCTCAAATGATGCGGCCCAGGATTCTTTGTGCTTGGTCATTTTCACGCCTGGCTGCTTGTGCTACTGGTCGGAAGTTCAGCCAGCAAATAGGCGTATATGTTGCTCGTAGTCACGCCCTTTAGCTTCCTTGGTGGTTTGGATTGGTGGGTTTTGGAGGTGTGCCGGTCGGGAGTGCTGGTTTTGGAGGGAGTGCTTTAGGAACCAGGAGTCCACATACAATCCAAACCACCAATTCGGGGTAGTTAAAGCTGCCTCCAAAGGACTGGGAACCAACAAGTTCGCCTTTTGGGACATTGACGGGGGTGCAGGCCAAGCAGGCGACTTCTTCCAGCTTGAGGCAGGCTGCCACAATTTGCGACATCCGGGCGTTTGTTTTCTTTTGGAATCCCATGAGGCTGGTTTTAAGTGCAATCAAAAGGACACCTCGACGTCCAGGTTTGAGAAACCCGGGGTAAGTATTGGGCGATATGACTCCAAAGCTTGCAGGATGAGGCCTGGGGGTGCGCGGCGCAGGCTGGGCTTCGAATTTGAAAGAGACAAGAGAAAGTGGAGCAGCATCATGCAGCATGTTGGTGTTGTGCCACATGGCTGTGGGTCAAAACCAATGGTATCCCATTTTGGGGTAGGTGCACCACCAACTTTAGTCTATTTTGGTGGGGAGTGGGATGTTCACTGGGGGTACGGGCTTTTGACCCATGGCCACATTTGTCTTTTTGAAGATTGGTCGCTGACCAACCGTTTCGACTCGCGAATCGCGTCCTTCGCCAGTGTCGGTGCATGCCAACCCTGACCCTGAACCATGTAGCAGATGCTGCCAACCAGCAAGCGAGGTGTGATACACTTGGCTTCGCGCTTTCCGCCACACCCTCAGATTTGTTTTATCGCTTAGAGTTTAGAACGGATGTAGCACATAGGATATCTCACTAAAAGCTTAACTTTTGGCAAGGGATCCACGAACCGCTAAGTAAAATAGCAGGCATTGATGAGCCAGGACAACTCGAGCTGCATTTCACGCATCCGGAGGCTGCTGCCTGATGCCCAGAGTTAGAGCTTCATTGCCGGTTTTGCTCCTTGCAGTCTTGCGAGGCCCTGGCAGAATGCATGCCATGTAAAAATCACTAGCTGATTTCGAGAATCAATCCCCTTCTAAAGCAGGTGGTTGTGGGATGCATCCTTTCAGAAACCCTTTCTTCAGCATGTTCCATCAGACGGCATGTCCCATTACTTTGGGGTGGTGCTGGTGTAGTGGTTTATTGGAAAAGTGTCCAAGCGAGGTGCACGATGCGGTTCGTTCGACATAGCTCATCCAAGTGCTGCCAATTCGATTCTTGGGAAATATGCACAATCTGTGAACTCATAGAATTCTCAGTGCATCCAGTTACCACAATAGTACGTTAGTAAAAAGGGTCTGTCTGTTGAGGGTGCCTGTTTTGTGCGGTTTTATAAAGGGACACCAATAAGAAACCCCGGTTTCGCCTCACCAAAACCGATGGTATCTGGAAGGACTTTTACTTTTTTAGCCCCAAAGGGCGATTCCTACATGTTTCCCTCCCCTTGTTAATAATTAGATCCACCCCTGTCAATATTCAAATTGTTTTCCCAAGCAAGCAACAAAACCGAACCCGGCCCTGTTTTGCTTCTTCTTCGGCCCGACACCAATACAATACTTCTGGCAGCCCTTATTAGGGAGTACTTTCAGCACGTCCAACTGTTCCACATCAAAAGCGACAACGGCGCCGGTGCATCCTGACCTGCGTTGCCTTCTCATTCCCGCAAGGAGCCTCTCAAAAGTGAAAAGTGAACAAGACATGACATGCCCCCAGATTGCATCAACAGTTGTAGAAAATCAAAGGTGAAAGTTGTGTGTCTACCCCTCCAGTGGACGGAAGTACTGCTCCCAGTGACAAAAGGAGGGCCCAGGTAGCCTAATAGATTTGGTTTCCTCGAACATAATCTTTGTCGATTAGGGGGGGGGGGCAGGATTTACTAACAGGGTAAAGCGGTAGTTGAACTGGTCAACTAGCATGATCAATTTGTTCACAGTTTACAGCTGGCTTTCCTAGCAGGGTGCTGAAGAAAACCGCAGCATCCGAGAGGGACCCCTGGCGAGGTGGGTAGATGAAGGGCCATGGGCCGTGTGGATATGGCTTTTGGTCAAACGCCCTGTGTAAAACATGAACAAGGTTCCATTCATGTTGAGACATGTGTTTTTGGGCATGTGGTATCCTAACATGAGCGCCATGCATGGCAGCGCAGCATGGCGCTAGTTTGTCGCTAGAGCGTGTTGAGATACATGTGGAATCCGGCCAAAGACGCTTGTAAGGGAGCTCACTGTGGTGTAGCGAGGCTGCAGGGTCATATGCACTGTTGGCCTCGTAATTCATTTGTATGAGGCACAGTCCTCCAAATATCAGTAAATCGCGCATGTTCTCCTGGAGGGGCTAAGATTCCGGTATCTCGGCGCTAGCCTGTTGATGAGGCATCCTTGAAGAGAGACATCATTGTTATTCCGTGCAGCTGCCGGTCTTGCTCGGAACTGTGTTTGCCAGTGGGAATTCAGGTTGTTTTTCCGGACAATTCCGGTGAATTTTGCGCCGCGCGCGCCTGCGAAGTTTAAGTGCCACCTTTGGAACGGTAGATGGAAACGCCGCGTCAGACGGCGACAGCCAGAACAGCAACGTCAGCAACGTCAGCAGCAGCAGCAGCAGCAGCAGCAGCAGCAGCAGCAGCAGCAGCAGCAGCAGCAGCAGCAGCAGCAGCAGCAGCAGCAGCACAGGCTCAGAAAGCAGCTGAGCAACCACACGCTCAGAATCTGCTACATTCCACAATCTCACAGAGCCACCACTTCAATACCAGGTTCTCAATATGGCTCACTTGGGTTTGGTCTTGAAGCATGTAAGGCATTGTTTGTTCATCACGCCGTCACACATGCAATTTGGGATGGGATGCCTGTTGTTAACGCAGTTCACTCTTTTTCTTCCACTTCTCCCTGCCTTGTTGCAGCTAATTTTGTCCAACCCGGCTTGGCACCCAAGAAGCTTTGAAGGGGCAGCAGTTTCAGGCCGGCCCGTTTTTTGTTATTGACACCTTTCCTTTGTTTTTTTGCCGACCTTCACCCCCCTGCCACCCCCAAAAACCCAAAAAGCTTGGAGAGGGCCAGCCAGCGGGGCAGAGGTCGTGCCAGCAGATCAGAGAGGAAGACCTGGGGGGCGTGGATTGGCTCAGCCTCCGGGAGCAGATGCGCAGAGCGCTGGCCAGGCGCCCAGGTCGAACGGTCGGGGGGTTGGATGTGCTAGGTCCTAGGTCCCCCAGTACGTAGTGCCCTTTGACCCTTTGTTGGGGGGATGGTCCCCCGACTACAATAGACTGCAGAACAAAGGGTCCCCTTATTCTAACCTCTCTACTGGAGGACCTAGTGTGGGTGTGTGTGTGTGTGAGTCCATGATGTCCCGTAGGTTTGAAGGGAAACCAGAAGGAACCCAGCTTGAAACCACCCCCTGCAAAAGAACACACACCCAATTGGATCTTTTTTAGTGGCGAGCTCAACGATTCGGGGGAAGGGGGACGAACTCACCATGGTCTGGAAAGATGACTTTGAAGAGACTTCGCTTCAGGTTTGCATCTCAGTCGGTTGTGGGTGCAGAGGGGGCGCTTGACAGTCCCCATTCGGCATTACTAGAAGACTAGGGAAGGTTTAAATCAGGGCACGGAAGGGGTTCTATTCCGCCCTGATAGGACTGGACATTATCCGGCCATACGATATGCTGAGCCGAGCCGTTTGTTTAGACTTTCAAATTCGACGTTCCTGCTTTGTTTGGGCTGGACTGTTTGCCCACCTGCTGCCGTTACATGTTACCCGGTTGTATGTCAGCTTAGTTGCCATTCGACATTTAAGCGTCATGGGGGCATACCTACCGGTGAACAGTCAATGCCATTTGGCATTTCTGGGCACACAGTGCAAGCTTTCGGTGCGTTCTCTCTCAAGTGTTGATCTCTTACTTCAGGTGTTGGAGTAGGACTAGAGTAGAAAAAATGCGGAATTATATTACATGGGCTCCTTTGGGGGACTGCATGTCAGGGTCGACAAAATCAAGCCAATTTGGTGGACCCACATTTGGCTGACACTTGTCCATTCAGTGGGGTACCTGTTTTCCCCAACAGCTGGAAGCTTTGGGGTCTCAGCCCAGATAGGCTCCGGGGTGGTCTGGGGCGGCCCTGAGGTAGGTTCCACGAGGGTTCCACGAGGTTCTGCGGGGTGGCGCGAGCACTAGAAAGAGCACCGCATGCTGTTGGGGATATCACCTGAGCTTAGTTTTGCATAGGTAAATCCCCTCCCTTTTTCCCCATGGCCACTGTTTTTTTTTGTCTAGCTTGCTCGTGCTGCGATTTGCCGTGCTTAGGTTTACGCCCGAGAGGGGCAGGTGGACGGATTCAAAGAGGGCTTGCATGGGCAGCTTGGCGGGATGTGGAGCATATCGTCCCTTAAGGTGGTTGCGATTTGGTGAGGGCTTCCAAACTACTGGTGCTTCCCGTCAACCCATCATTAAAACTTCTGGTGCTTTCCCCTTGGTAAAGTTCTGAGGATGTTTCACATTGACGGAGTCTCCCAGGCTGCAAGGCGAGCCGAGGCAGCTTCACAAGATAACCTTCGAAGCGGAGTACGGCGACTTTATGCTGGACATGGGGCCAGGCACCCATTGCCTATTGCACCTGGCATGTTGTTTTTTCGAGGCTCGGTCCCTTTTGCACCGTGGCTTCAGAAAGGAAAAGCACCAATTTGGGGGGTCCCCTTATTATAACAGCATAGCAGGTCTGATTTGGCGTCAACGCCGGTTGTTCGGCGTGGCGTCAATGACTTGTGGCCTGCGAGGCGCGAAGATTGGATCACCAAGTTTCGGGGTCTCTTCGCGCAGCACTTGACAAATCCTGAGAAGGCAGGGTCCGTTGCTCCAAAAAAGGGCCAGGCTGAGGTTACTTTTCCTTCGTACTATCCTGGAGCCTCACTGCTTGAAGAGCGATTAGGCAACTGAATGACTCCTGGGTAGAAGAATGTGAAGCTGGCACTCAGGAGGGCTCTTGGCAAATTTCAATCCTCACCTTGCCCGTTGTGCTCTGCAGGCGCCTGGCTGCTTGCTTGGCCACGTTACTTGGCTGCAGCGCGCTAGTTAGTTAGCATCTGCAGGCCCTTTCCTTCCCAGAGCAGCCATGGTATGGCGAAACAACCTCCCTTCTGCATGCATATTATCATACACAAAATTATCAATTAGTCATGTATGCTATGTGTAGATTAAGTTGTTTGTGTGATGTTTCTGAACCAGGACCCTGTGCATTCTAGGCAACTATTGTTTGATCATTGGCCTTGTTCTGGGGCACTCATTGCAAACTTGCCAAACTAGCATTCGCGTGGTCGATGCGCTGCTCTCTGGCATGGTGCGCTGCGCTTATTTTTTCTGCGGTCATGAAACATCTCACGCGCTCGGTGAAGCAATTAACTTGAAAGTAAGCATTCCGATGGTAGGTGACGGAAAACTAGCCATCAGTGGACTTCCGATCGAGTGATTGATGCCTTCAGCTACGATTCTGACTGCATTCTGACTACGCCTACGCACAAGCGTGGCACAACGTGTTACCGCTGGTTTTAGAGGCTGGCTGTGTTAGGCCTTTGGCAACCGCTGGGAGTTTTTCTCAGGGTTGCGTTCTCGGGGACAGCTTTCTGAGCCGTGGGTTTGTTTCGAGAAGGATGAGGCATAGCATCTTGAGTGTGGCTGGTCTACGTTTCACGGTTTCAGCTATGAATCAATATTTTTGAGCTGTTTGCGCGTCGGTACTTGGGCAGCATAAACATGGCAAAGTTTGGAGCTAGCGCCTGTTTGTTGATGCCTGCCAGTGCAGTTCGAGTGTTGTTGTTCATGGTTCGTTCCACAATGAAGGCCTTTACTATACATTGAGTTCACCAGTTGGGTTTGCAGAAAAACATGTAATACACTACTCAAAGGGCACCAAACCCCTTTTCAGGTCCCCAAAGTTGCCGGATCAACAAATCCGAAACCTGCAACTCGCAGGCTACGCTGCAGCTGTTCATGCTGCCTAGCACTGAGCCGCAATCCATCAAACATGTTGCAGTCTTTGGCCCTTTGAGTCCTTCCTGCGTTTCCCCTCCGGGTAAATGCTGGAAAGAACGTGTCTTTGGAATCAGCCCGGCATAGTCTCAGCCCTCTTGCTTCAAATCCTTGTATGGCATTCGTTGGGCCCCCCATGAATGTCTTATCAAAAACTTGCTTATATTGTATATTCGGTCTGTCTTTGCCCGCTTCCGAAATGTCAATTGTCTTTGCATTTGGGCCCTGGGCACTTGAACATACAATATGATATTGATTTCTAGTCTGATTTGAAGACAGGCTGCTGACTGCGAAATATGTGCCGAACTTGTTTCTGGCAAGGGTTGGATGCTGGACAAGGTGCGGGAGACACAGCACAATTTTGCAGAGCCTTGACCGACATGGAACCCAATTAGTGGCTTGGCAACGATTGAACATGTGATTTGCATGCGGCCCCAAGCACAGGTTTTGGGGCGCTAGGGGCGCCTGCGTGTAGCAAGCCGCCCACAAGTCAAAAACCAGAGTTGGTCCATGTCCATGTCTCTTTCTTCAGAACGGCGAAGCCTACACCTTAGGATCTTTGCAGGCCAGTGGCAAGGGCAGTTTGATGGAAAGGGCTTGAATGACGCTTGTTCTTCAAGTGCCCCATGCCTGATGCTTGGTGGGGCGCCCAGGTTTTTCGTGGATAGCCGCGGGCACGGACTCTTCCCAAAGGCCAGGAAGAGTAGAAGCTTTGTTTGACGCTAAGTTACGCTAAGCGCCAGAAACGTCCATATTCGTATTGCCACTCTTTGAAGGAGCTGGCTCCACGCGCAAGCTGGAGCTCAAGCTTGGAGGACATGCGGTGTACTCAGAAAGCTTTGCAACAAGACAAGACATTGGTAGCCTATTCCTTTCTGGCCGGTGAATGTGTACTTGCCCAGCGTTCATTTGTTGAGCATCATTCGGAATCAGCCACGCTAAGAAGCTATTCAAGGACATCAGGTGCCTCAACTAGCGAACAAGGTGACCGCAAAAATGATCAGCAGCAGTTTATCTCAAACATGGGGTCAGCCAGCAAATTGAAACCCGTGTGGAGAGTCACAGCTGTAGTTCCTTGCATGTTGGCCATGTGGGTGTCAAATAGCCCATGATTGCTGATTTACCCAAGGGAAACAAAAACGGTGATGGATACCATCACCCCTCCCCAATGACTGCTGGCTCCTTCCTGTGCCCAAACCCTAAGTGCTGCTAAAGTGGTTGAGGGGTGCTGGGATGGTGATGTTTGTTAGATTCCCTACACCCAGCATTCGCCAGGAGCGTGCCGTGTGTTACTCGGACTTTGTGGAGCCTGAAATGTGGAACCTGTCTGGACCTAAGTGGCTCGTGGCCCGGCTCGTGGTACCCGTTTTCGGGGTTGGCTGAAAGAGAAATCTTAAGAGCAACGCCATCATTTGGAGAAACGGAAAAAAGACATGAAACACACACACATACATACACTCCTTATCGATGAGAACCGAGATATACACTCAAAAGAGGGTTATTGGTTGAAAAGGCCCCTGCCGTTGCCCGCGAAATGCAAATTACGACTGGCCCCAGGCTTGCAAACATAAAGCAAGCTTTGACAAAACTGAATAAGAAAGTGAAGGCAACAGTCCGCCAACACCAATCAGTGAAGCCGGAAAGGCGGTTGAAGACCAACAAGTCGGACTAAGAGAGCATTGAGACGCATTAAGGCCATTTCGGCAAATTCAACTCTGCAACGAAGCCCCGACACGGGGCACGCAGGAGCCCGAATGGAGGGAGAGAAGCGTAATACACTGCAACTGTTTGCGTATGTTTGCGTTGAACACGTGCAGTTTGGAAGTCGGCTCTCCTGCATGCTTGGTGAGCTCCGTTGGATACTCGTCTTTCTCGGTGCTTTCAAGTCCGGGATTCTCGTGCTTTTCCAGGTATGTGCTCAGGACGCCTCGTGAGACTATCCACGCCATATCAGAGTCGCCTTGTTGGGCAACACTCTGATTGGCAAGTTACCAATTCGGGGAAGTAATCTCGGACTGCATCTGAAACACAGTTCCTCAGTGTCAGCGAAGGTTGGCTCCCTTGGTTTCAGGGTACCCGCACACGCGCACGCGCACCCACACACACAGAGACACACACACACACACTCACGCGCACGCGCGCACACACACACACACGTGCGCACACTCACGCGCACGCGCACGCACAGGCACAGGCACAGGCACACGCACACAAACAAACAACCTTCAATTGTGCGCGCGCACACGCACACACACACACACACACTCAAAACAACACAAAGAAACAATCAACAAACCGAACGAACAAAAGAACAAACGACCAAACGAACAAACAAACAAACAAACAAACAGACACACACACACACACACACGTACGCACCCAGAGACATGCACCGCACCGCGCTGGATCGCACCGCACGTCAGCGCAACGCACGCGCGTCCTTACGCGCGCGTTTGCCGCAAAGTCTGGGAAGGAGGCCCTTGCTTAAGGGAGCCATCGCTCGAACAGTCGAAGCTGACTTATTGACTGTGGCCAGCCCCCCGGGTGAAGCCAACCTGCGCGGTACATGTTTGCGATGGAAGTGTGCTTTGACACTTGTACTAGAAAGTTGCAATCTTCGAGCTGGAGCTGCAGGAGCGCAATTCGGGTGCTACACTTGTGCTGAAAAGTTGGGATTTTGAGCTGGGGCTGCAAGTGTGCTCTTCGCTTGCGATTTCGAGCTAGGGATGACACTTGTACGGAAAAGTTGCGATTCTCGAGTTTGGTGTTTGCAAAGCCGAAGAAAAACAATGTAAAAGGATAAGGAGGAACAAACGATATTGTGAAACAAGTCGCAGTGACAGGATGGGTGGTATTTCTGCATGCCCATGTGTTTTGCCCGGCCCGTTGCTAGGCCAAACGTCCTCGCCACACGTTTGCGGCTGCTTCGGGCCAGGGCCTCAAAGCAGTGCAACCCAACTCATTCTCATGACTTGTACAGTATGGCCGGTCGTTCGGTGCATGAGGGTGCGCCTTTTCTCTGGGGACCCAGCTTCTTGTTGGGTTTTCAAGCGGAACAAGGAACAAGGTGAGCTCATTGGGGTTCCACCACTGCAGGCAGTGCGCTGGATGAACCTCCTGGAGAGTGGCTGGCCGATCTTCAAGATTCTTTCCTTAGCCGCTTGGTTTTGGCGACCTGCCCACCTTCGTTGCTTCACCATGTCAGGGCTATGCTTGGGGACGTCCAATTATGTAAATGCTCTTTGACCTGATTTGTCCATCAATATGATCAATGCCTGGAGTTTGACAGCTCACTTGTAACTGGTCTGCAGCTGGTTCCACTCCCAGAAACCTACACGAAATTCTGCAGACAATAGCGCCATGTTTTCGGGTGGAGGCTTGCTGGAAGCTTGCAAAAACTCAGGGTTGGCTGGAATTTGTGAAGCTGCTTCTAGAGGTGATTTTGCTGGACGTGTGCTAAATCAGGTTTCTGGTCATTGCCAAACTCATGCTTTAGAAGTGGCTTGGCTGGAAATCAGCGAAACTCATGTTTTTTGTTGGGGGTTATACTTTTAGGGGTGGTTTGGTTTTGAATTTGGCGAAATCTTTTGTCTAACTGCTTTTAGAGGCGGTTTGGCTGGAAATTTGCTAAAACTCATGATTTGTTGTTTGTTTAGTTTAAACGTAGCGAAATCTGTAGGATATAAGTGAAAAAAACCATGCTTTTGCCGGGTGTTTGGCTGCTTTCCTGCAGCTTTTCTCTGAATTTTCGGGCGGGACGCAAAGGTCACCTACCACGGGCTGCGGCCTCAGACCGAGAAGGGAGGAATTGGTGGGACATGGGGCTTCAATCTGACGCAACGTTCGGTGATACCAAGGGAAGCGGGAGGAATTGGTGGGACATGGGGCTTCAATCTGACGCAACGTTCGGTGATACCAAGGGAAGCCACTCTAAGGGAGAACGTAGTCATGGAGATGAGCTTGAATTATTAAACATTTAGTATTGGCATCACAGTAATGTGGTTTTCGCATGGGAATAGTTCCATCCCAGACCAGTGGCCACAGGACCCAAGGGTACCTTTGGGTTGGAAAGGGCACAACTGGAGGTCACCCGCAACAAAATGGTCAACCCCCAAGGGTGTCTAAGGCTTGCGTTCCGAGCAGCAGGCTCAAAAAAGTGTTCAGTATACCTGGCCGAAAGTTCGTACTTCTTTTTTTTGAGTTGGCATAAACGGGCAACTCCATTTGTGCATACTTGTTCAAGCAGCGTTTGCTATTTCGCGTGACTTTGCCGCTGAGTGCCAGGTTCCCCCAAAAGAGACACTGCATGTTCTCGGTGCAGCTTCTGAGATCCTGGGAGCCCAGACTGACCCAGCGAGCTGTCGGTTTCTAGCCGGGAGAGCGAGGTGTCGAAGGAAGCAGCGCCAGTGCTCTGCAAGATGCCCAGAGGCGCTTCGATTCGGCTCGCAGAGAAGTAGGCGTTCGACTCGAACAGATTGACAGCCGTCGAAGTCCAGCATCTTGAGCTTGGCTTAAAGGGGTCAAGAGATTGCGGGCATTTGCCCTTCCATACTTTATACCCACAACAGCCAGCTGTGAGCTTGCCTTCTGCAATCGTTGACTTTTTGCTTTACAAAACACGGCCCCCTTCTCATTGAGGGTTTGGGGTGGCATCACAGGATATAGCACTTTGCTTACTTTGCGAATGCTTGGCCTCCTTGACTTCAATCCTTTGGATCAATCAAACATGTCCTCAGTTGGTTGGGTTTCCTGAAATTGGTCAAGTTTTTCTAGCTTCCGGGTCCGATTCGCTATTTTGACACATACCCCATGTGTTCAATACAGCTGTATGCCGACAAAGTCGATCTGCCTGCACGCAGGTCTGGATCAACCGACTCATGGTCATGATCGAAGACAAGGCCCCTGCTCCGCACACGTGCGATCAGCCGTCTTTGGTCGGCTGAAGCCAGGTACAAGTCGGCTTCAGCTGGGTCAGCTAGCATGGCGAGAAGATGGCACAAATGCATTTCACAGTTGCATTGTGGTTCTTAGGTGTGTAATCCTGAAGACCTACCTCAAGTCCCAAACGCGCAACTGTGCAGAAACACCTGTGTGACTGACAACTGCGCCTGCTTGAGCAACTAGCATTCGAGGAGGTACTTGCTTAGTCAACACTGCAAATGGGACAGGCCCGTCAATAATTTGCCATCGGTAGTTTGGTACGGGATGCCAACTTCCAGACAACTCCCCACTTTGCAACAACCACGGACGGGAATGGACAAAGTCCTGGCAAAGCGAAGGGGAGTCCTCTTCTCCGCGTTGGAAAGAGGGTGCTTGTTTTGTGCATCGCTCAGTGCTTGCGGGCGATGTTCGCTATGGAGGCGCTTTGCTTTGGTATGTCGCTATGGGTGCGGGTCGGCTGCGGCAGCTTGGCGCGCGTCCCAACGCGCGGCAGGTCACAGGCCTGCTCAACCTTTTCCGGTTGGTTGATTAGGGCTTCCTTTGTGATTTAGCCGGCCAACCGTGAACTTTCGGGGGTCTGATCTGAGTCTGGCCAAGTAAAAATGGATGGCTTGTTCCATTTGTGGAGCGCCGGCCGGCCCACGGCATGGCAAGACCTCACCAGGAGCTGTGAGGCGTGAGCTGCCCGCATGGCGTGAGGACCCGCGGCTGGCCACCTGGACTTTGACAGGCGGAAGCGGAAGCCGAGAACCAGCATGGGGGTGTTTGTTGGCCACCCCCCAAAATAGGTGGTTTTCCTTTTGTTCCCCTTGCAAACCTCCCCACAAAGGGTGCCCTCAAAAGAAGACACACACCCTCACACTGATCCGCAAAAAGGGTCCCCAAGAGTTTCCCTTCGCAAATGAGGGTGGGGGGGGTTCTTATTAGTCAGGGGCGGTTCTCAAAATTACTTTTTGGGGCGGTCTTCCGTTGAACCCACCAATTACGGGGTAGTTTGGAGGACGCCACTTTAATGACTCCAGTACCCTTGTCCAGTCTACTGGTTGAGTGAAAGTAGATGGTTCAACTTTAGCTAATTTTAGTTTCATCCCTTTTCCCTAACTACGGAAAGGAATGGACTTGTGCCATCTACGTTCACGCTGAAGAAACAAATTCCCTCGGCAGGCCTCGGCAAGACCCATCACCTGAGCACATCACTGGCTGTGCTCAATGCCATGCGCCGCTTGGCCTGCGGGCTGGTTGCATGCTGAAACAATCAGACTCTGGCCCTCTTTGAAGGGGACACAAAAGGGGCATGTTTGTTTGCAAGCATTTGTCGGCGAGTCCGACCTACGCTACCAGCTTCACAACAAAGCTTTCATGTGGAAAAGAGGCTCACCGACCATCCGTGGTGCTGCGGTTTGCCGAGGACGTTTGTGTTTCCAAGTCAATGCCTTCCACGTCACGGCTGTAATGTGCCATGGCAGCAAGCATGCTTGCAATTGGAGACTTTTACAATTGTGGGTTTCCCTTTAGTTTCCCTTTAAGCCCTCCCCAAAAAGGTGCCCTAAAAAACCGTGCAGTAAATCAGTCCTTTGCAGGAGGCGGAAAGTCTGGCGTTGTGGTGAGCAAAGTCCGATTCAGCATCTGCCGGAATCCAGTGACAGAATTCTAGTTGGCGAGCTCCTTCGTGCTAGAGTTCGATCCCCACTGGCTAAAGTTGCTCTTCAATTGCCGAATCTCGCCGTGACCATGTCAGAAATCCCGCATTGCCCAATGCAGACCCTGAAGGGTACTTCTTTAGCGTGCCAAGGAGTTGCGCGCGTGCGGCTGGCCGCTGGCCAGTTGCGCAGCACTTGCTAGCAAGATGGCGCCTGGCAGGACAGGATTCAATAAGCTGACCAAGACATGTTGGCAGTCAGATGTTGGGCTGGGGGGTTCAGTGCAGAAGTAATGAATACTGTGGAAGGTGCCAGGTGAGGCATGGAATAAATCATTCTTCAGCTCGAATGTGGCCGTTTGCAATTTGCTTGCCTCTCTAAAGGTTGACATGGTTCTTCAAGGCCCATCCTCTCCCCGCCTTCGCACTAGGACAGAAATAGAAAAGTGAAAGGAAGCTGGATGCTTAATTATAAGCTTGTCAAACCTTGGATTGAAAACAGCGTATAAGGATTTGGTTGTTTCGGCCTTGCGTTTTTTTTCTGAAGGCACCCCAGGAGACAAAATTCATTTGTATCAGAATAAACGGTACTGGCTGTTGCAGTGTGAACCGTGTTTTTTCATGTGGTTGTTTGAGTCAGACGATTGATGACGGTTGTCTTTAATCGCAGGGGGTTCTGAAGAGTAGCTGCATGGATCTAACATAGAGACTCAGAGAGAGAGAGAGAGAGAGAGGGAGAGAGAAAGCGCGATATATAGATATATAAATAAATATATATATATATTTGGTCAGGCCCACTACCTTTCCTTCATTCTTCATAAAGTGACTGCAACAAGTGTATATATATATATATATTATGTATGTATATGTATATATGGTCAGGCCCACTACCTTTCCTTCATTCTTCATAAAGTGACTGCAACAAGTGTATATATATATATTTATATATATTTGGTCAGGCCCACTACCTTTCCTTCATTCTTCATAAAGTGACTGCAACAAGTGTATATATATAAATATTTATTATGTATATATATATATATATTTATTTATATATTTGGTCAGGCCTACCTTTCCTTCATTCTTCATAAAGTGACTGCAACAAGTGTATATATATCTTTATATTATGTATATATACCTTTCCTTCATTCTTCATAAAGTGACTGCAGCAAGTGTATATATATATATATATCATGTGTATATATATATATATATATATATATTTGGTCAGGCCCACTGCCTTTCCTTCATTCTTCATAAAGTGACTGCAACAAGTGTATGTATATATAATATATATATATATATATGGTCAGGCCCACTACCTTTCCTTCATTCTTCATAAATTGATTGCAACAAGTGTATATATATATATATTATGTATATATATATATATATTTGGTCAGGCCCACTACCTTTCCTTCATTCTTCATAAAATGACTGCAACAAGTATATATATATATTATGTATATATATATATATATTTGGTCAGGCCCACTACCTTTCCTTCATTCTTCATAAAATGACTGCAACAAGTATATATATATATATACATATAGTATGTATATATATATATTTGGTCAGGCCCACTACCTTTCCTTCATTCTTCATAAAATGACTGCAACAAGTATATATATATATTATGTATATATATATATATATTTATATTTGGTCAGGCCCACTACCTTTCCTTCATTCTTCATGAAGGGACTGCAACAAGTGTATATATATATATTATGTATATACCCATGTATAATGATGAGTCAGACGCTTGATGACGGTTGTCTTTAATCGCAGGGGGTTCTGAAGGGTAGCTGCATGGATCTAACATAGAGACTCAGAGAGAGAGAGAGAGGGCGAGAGAAAGCGCGATATATATATATATATATATATATATATATTTGGTCAGGCCCACTACCTTTCCTTCATTCTTCATAAAGTGATTGCAACAAGTGTATATATAATGTATATATATATATATATTTGGTCAGGCCCACTACCTTTCCTTCATTCTTCATAAACTGACTGCAACAAGTGTATATATATATAAAGCTATTTATTATGTATATATATATATATTTTGTATAATGATACAGATTGTTGAGATAGACTCCTTGCCTCGTTTCCGCCCTTTAGGCGCTTCAGCTCCTTCGGCGCTGCGGAACGGCGCGGCCGGCGGCCCCTGGCGCTGGGCCCTGCAGTTGCGCGGTCGAAAGCCGGAGGAAGCGAATGCGTCGGGGTCGGATCCATGGGAATCCATGGGAATCCATGGGAATGGGAAAAAGGTCTCAGGACATCATGGGGCTCAGGATATGAGATATGAAAATAATGTGGTGATTAGGTTTAAAGGTTTAGAAGGACATGGGACTCAGGATGTGGGAATGAGAAGGTGGAAATAGGGCTTACAATACGGGAATGCCCCCAATATGTGGAAACTTTGGTGTTGGGTGAAAAAGATGTGGGAATCCATGTCATGCGAAGCTTAGCGTAGTCATAGGAGATAGCCAGGCTGTGATTTTATGTGAAACAAACATGGATTACTACACTTGGTGGAGATAGGTTACCAGTTGTGCTTGTCATACGAGACCTAGTCCGCAGGACATGTGGACACTTTAGTTTGGGTTGACATGTTCAGGGAGTTGCCATTGGAACGCTCTTAACAGTGATAAAGTAGTCATGGGGGAGCCCCGCCAAAAGAAAGAGGGTTTTAGGTTGCCAGTTGTGATACCATGGAAATCCCCTTAGTCTTAAAACATGGAAACAGAGTTGCCTGCCATGGGAATCCCCTAAGTGAAATCATGGGATGGTTGGATGGGAAATCACTCTAGTTGGCATGTGATTTTTCCCAGTTTGGTCCATCCCATTTGATGCAGGATTTTGTACCCCTGAAAGACCAGAGCCCATTCTCTCATCCGTCGTTCTCTTTAGAAGCCACCCGTTTTCCAAGGAGTTTGGCCCATTTTTGGTGAAGAGGATGGGAAAGGTACAGCTCGGCAGCTTTTGCCACAGGATGCCTACGCTTTGGGCACGCTGCTGGGCGCAATGCGCTGGCGCCACGCCCTGGCGATGCTGCGTCCCGGCGGCAAGATAGGCTACCCCCTTGGCTTCATTTGGCGGACGTTCAGCAGTTTGAGTCCGGGATGTTTGGATTATACGGGGAGTTTGGGTTCGACCTTCACACTCAAGATTTAGGGATCTGTTTTCCCGGGTTGCAAGGCAAGGGCGACCATGTTGAGACTCAAGGCCCAGTAGATGAGTGACATCAACGGGCCGTCTAAGTCTTCGTAGCTAGGCCAACACGCCATGAGGACAGATGGCAGG